GCCTTCGGTTCGCCTGATAACACTTACCTCGACCTTGATTATTCCGGATATCACAAAAACCTCATCCAATAATTGTTTATACTGATCGAATTGTCGTCCTCAAGTGGCACGGGGTATCCACTGTAGCTAATACATGAGTTGTATTATCGTTGCTTTTCCGCATACAGCAATTGCAAAAAGACAACATGAACATGCCAATGTTATTTCACATAAGCTGGTGAAAGACACAAGCACATGCTTTTTTGCCAACAGAGCCAATGTCCTTTATTTAACGATTAATGAATGAAGCTGGGTATCTTATGAAGAATTATAGAGATCGAGGAGGGTGTTATCCGTCGAGGCCGTAGGCCGACACGGATAATACCCTCCGACATCTCCATAATTCTTCATATGATACGAAAGCCGAATTCAATGATTGTTTTATTATTCATTCAAAATAATTCTTAGTTTAAAAACATAGCTAAAACATGCTTACCTCCATCGATGTTAAGTTCATCTTCGATAGTGCCCGTTTAGGGTTGTTCAGCTCCGCAAATATTCTCCAAATAGCAGAAGTCGCCCTTCGAGTTGTCTTCTCGCCATGTTTTTAGCCATTATTTCGCCTAGTCCTTACTCTTGAAACAAGTGAAATGTCAGCCATTTTTGTTTTCAAAACCAAAACAACTCAACCTCGTCCCCTGGTCTTCTGGGTTTACGGTGCATTAACCTGGAAGGACGCTACACTTTTGACGTCATCGGTTCATTAATCGCAAAATTGTTCCAAATTTTGTCATCATTAGCTGGTTATGGTGAATTATGCTTCTGCTTTTAGCCAATCAGAATCGGGGCAATATTTTGAATGAATAATAATAACTATCCAATTTATCTTTTAACCCGTATGAAGATATCACTAAAAATTCTAAAAAGCATTGAAGGCGTCCAAGGTCACAGCTTGCTATATTTAAATTATTCGACGCCGGACACGGACCCCCAAAATGAAAGAACTATAGCTTCGTTGCCAAACTTCGAAGGAATATTTATTGAAAGGCTATTATAATTATTTTTTTACAATAACGGAGCGAATCCTCTAGCGCTGATTGGTCGAGAGCTATGGTCTATGAGAGTATAGACCACAGAAATGACGTAACATGTCATGCAGTGCCAGTTGTTTTGTTTTTGGTTTTTGTAAACAAATAAATGTTATTGTGAAAAACAAATCGACCACAATTTTCCATGATCTACACTCTTATAGGCCAGAGAAATGACGCCATACAATGTTCAAAACTTTGCAGTGAAACCACTCGATGACAACACTGATGCCAACGTTGAAACTAAAACGTTGTACTTGTGATAGTGTTAACGTAAAACATGGACATTGCTTCTTTTCAGGTTATGAACCTGCGCTTTATGCTGAATTTGGGAAATTTGATGATTTTGTATGGAAAAAGGCTACAGTCTACTCTGACTCTTTTAACGGACACCTCTATAAGAAGGACATATCGGTAAAACGGACACAGAGTTGGTCGCTGCCTTTCTTTGCTCCTTTTATTTGACTCTCTATAAGACAGACACCTCCGTAAAACGGACACCCAGAGTCGGTCTCTGCCTTTCTTTACTGCCTTTATTTGACTCTCTACAAGACAGACACCTCTGTAGAACGCACATCCAGCGTTGGTACCTGCCTTTCTTTACTCCCTTTATTTGCATGACTCTCTATAAGACGGACATCTCTCTAAGACGGACACATACAGCAGGTCCCAAAGGTGTCCATCTCATAAAGAGTTGACAGTAGTTTGAAACAGATCGGCAACTTTCTTTTTTTTTAAGTAATGATCCGGATAAGAAGGAAAGCAATTTCGTTTGTTATGGTACAATACGCTTTCCTCATATAGGAATGTTTCCCCCGGGGGCACTCCCTTATATAAGCTACATAGGTATGTGCAGCCCCATCGGGTAGGGTTCTTGCACCGTTTTGGTCTGAAAACGGGTATACACTTTGCCCATTTTGGTCTGGAATCGTGTGTGGTTTTCGAGGGAACTACAGGAGTGTATGAACGCATTTATCGTTTCAATTGCAAATGAGTCAGAAAGAAAGAGAAATATGCGAATTCGAAATGGATTTGAAGAATTTGTTTGTTTACGCTCCAATCTAAAAAATGATAACATAATTTCCACCTAAAGACCAGGTCTAAAAAGTATGGTTTTTAGAGGTCTGGTCTGAAAACGGGCACAGAAAATAACACTTTTTGGCCTGAA